CGACCCTCAGATTGTGAGTCGAGCGCTTTATCCACCTGGCCATGCCGGGCACTTCGTCTTGTCTTCGGCATTTCTTATTACAATATAATGTTGCATTGTGTCGTAAATAACGTTACAGATCTTGTGCGCGTAAAGGAATATTTATTATTTCATAATGTTAATAAATACTATCCACATATTTAACTGCATTATCTTCCCATTTTAGATTTTATAAGTCTTTAACGTGTGTTTTGTTTTCCATCTTATCTTACAAATAGTACGTTCTTAAACTAATCTAAGTTTATCTAACCAAAGCGACGTTTCGGAAATGTTCGCTTTTGATCGCTATTATTGTGTTTTATTTTTCAATATATAAATTTTTGCGTTGCGTTTAAGTAGCTTTGAAGATGTACTTGGTTATATTATCGACTTTACCGTATTTCTTTGTGAAAAATTAACGTTTCTAAGTAAGACCAGATTTGATAACACTCAAATATCAAGCAGAATTACTCAATTGATTTTTTAAAAAGCAACAACGTTGGAATATAATTAATTCATATATTGTATTATCTGTTTCTTTGCTGGATATTCGTACCTAGCTGAACCAGGGTTATCATCTCTAGCCGTCTCTAATTTTGAAGTGATAGACTAGCAGAAAGGCAGCTAGTCAACAGCGCCCACCGCCGCAACTATTTTGTTATTCAGGAAGTGGGATTTCATCGTCACTCTTATAACGCACCCACGGTGCCAAAGTGTGGAACGCAATTTTGCGATAAGAAACGCAAACCACGGAAAACGAACATCTTCACAGCTCGTCATGATAACCACTAGACCAAACCCGATTTTTATATTTTTCATATTACTGGTTAGTCAGATATTAATAAATTTGTAGATAAGTTATCATTCAAATTTACAGCGAAAAAAGGTTGAATTTCAAACTTTTTTTAGAGATCTGTAATAATGTTTTTGAAATATTATACACCCTCTTTAAAATGAATGTTTTTATCTTATGCCTTAATGTTAATCGTCAATAGCGTGCCTTCATGTGTTTAATTATAGTCATGGGCGTCCGCAGAGATTTTTTCCAGAGTGGGGGGGGGGGGGAGCAAGGTAGTATGAAATTGTGAATCGAATAAAAGATTCATATACATATGTTGAATGAATAAAGAAAGAATTATGTTTCTCATTTTCCAGAGGGGGCAAATGACTCTCCCTTGCCCCCCCCCCTGCGGACTCCTATTTACAGTGTATGATTTTAGCTGTGATTTTTTTTCTAAGATAGTCATTGTTTGTGAAGTTTAAAATTTTATTTGATATTTCTTGGATTTTTATTTTAAGTGTATTATCATACAGTGATATAAATTTCTTGACCACCACTAACATTCACTTAATTTCGAACTTAAAGGCGGCGCTGATTTAGGATGTATTACTAATATGAGAGAGTGTATGATTTTATTCATGAAACAAGTTGTTCAATGGAATCAAAGATACGTTGGGAGAGTTTCAATGAACTGCAGAGATTACTGATAAAACCACGCTGTCCTGTGATGTTAGAATTTCTTAGTTTTTATCTCATCAGGAAACATGTACACACAAAGTAAAGCATGCTGCTTTCTTTTAAATATAACCAATATAACAAACTATTATTACTAACATTAGGTTTGTTATTAAGCTCAAAGTTGGACAATGTGCTTTGCCAACCGCAAGGATCGAACCCCATATTTTAGTGTTATAAGCCCTCAAGCTTACCACTGATCCACTTGGAGGCCCAATGTTAGGCACATCGAAGCTTAATAGTTAAGGTACACAAGCATCAAGACTTCAACAAAAACTCTTTAGTAATACTGGCATTTCTTTCTCAAAACAAATCGAAAATTGTCTACCTCGATGAAAATTTCAAATCTTTGTTCTCAGAAAGTTCCATCTAATTCTACCATGTTTATAAGAGACTTAAGTAAATCGAAAAGACGATCCTTCGTTGGAGATGAATATGAAATAGGATTTTATATGAGTTGCCTTACCCAAATAAAGTATTTAGATGTGACCTGCGTAAATGACCCCACTACGTAGATAAACATTAAATATTCATTTAGATGACGTACCTTGTTTGAGAAGCTGGAATATGGAAAAGCTTCCTGAATAGTAGTTGACATCAGAAACATAAAAAATACAATTTTGACATGAGCTAAAATAATGACAAGGATGAGAGTAGTTTTGCATTTACTTTTAGAATATTCTATTTTCGTAACCAAATGTTTTGGCTAGCATCTGAGTTTAGGCATCACTTAAATTAAGGAATAAACCGCGGTAACTACAATATAATGACACTTGGCTCAGAAG